CATCCCTGGCATCTTCCTCATCTCGCTCTGGTACGAAAAGTACACACCCGCCTACTCCACTGAGCAAGTCGACCCCGGCGTCACACAGGCCATTGCAAACATCGTCGGCAATGCGCAGCTCGGTGTGCGTGTCGGATACTTCGGCATCTGCATCAACCGCGACGGCGGTGGCTACATCTGCTCGAACAACGCCACTGCGCTCGTAGACAATCTCTCAGTTGACCAGGATCCGCTCAACCTCGTCTGGGTAGCATCGACATTCAAGGATGCCGTTGTCTTCCCATACCTCCTCATTGTCGCCATCATCCTGGCATTCTTCACCTTCGTCCTCCTCGCCACCTTCCCTGGCTGGCACGAGGAGCGCGATGAGCGCACTGGATCTGATGTCGACGTCAAGCCTTTCCCATCAAGACCCGTATCGCAAGTCGCCCTCGCCCTCATCTTCGTCGCCTCCATCTTCGTTCTCGTGTCAGTACTATGGCAACATACCGCATCCGTAGCCGCAGCGACAATAGCCCAAGACCTGGGGAACGGCAGCGTAAAGTCAGGAGTCGGTACATCAGCCATGGTACTCGGCTGGTTCGGCTTCGTCTTGCTGATAATAGTAACAATCGGACTGCTCGTCATGATTCTCAGCATCATTGTTCTCGACCGCCTCACCGACAACGATTAAGGACCCTTGATGGACAGAGGATGAAGATCTTGTTTACGAGACTGTACTTTGGCGCCGAGCGTACTTGGCTTTGCTTTTCTTCACTTCGACGCACGAACAATTACATACCCTTTTTTGGCGATGCATCTGCAGCTTGCTGCCCCCAGAACGACATATTAGCATAATCGGCGTTGGTTTTTAATGTTTCTTGCATACGAAATGAAGCGCGCTCGCTTGAGCGGGGAGAGAAAGCATGTTTGGGATTGGGACGAGTACTGTGATGGATGGAAATGGGCTGGAATGATGGACTGTATCTATGTAGTAAACGAACGAAAGAATCAAAGAATGATATGGCGGACAAGCAATAAATATGTTGCAATCAGTACATTGTGCCTCACTTCTGTCATGTGTCATGCCCATCGAAACATGCTTGCAGAGCTAATATTTGACATTGGCATATCTAGACATTACTCATTACTCCATCAAGTACGTCCTCACATAGAGACCATCGCACCCAACACTCCCACCGCCATCCCAACCCACCACACACCAGGTGTCATCTTTCCTGCCCCGCCCGTAGCCACTGCCACATTTCCGTTCCCCCGTCCACTTCCCCTTGCACTCCCGCTCACCCCAGCGCCTGGCGTTGGCGTCTCAAACCCCACCGTCGTACTCCCGACCGCAACCCCCGTCCTCGCACCCACCACCACCGTCCCATTCACCGTCACCCCGTCCCCACCCTCACTAAGCGTAACCCCTAGATCCGGAATAACCACGCTCCCATCACGACTTGTCGCCGTGTACACGCGCCCTCCAATCGTGACCAGCGCAGTGGGCGCGGGACTAATATTCGGCGCAGGTGTGTTGATATCCGGTATACTCGAGAAAGCGAGCGTGCTTGTAACGCCTGATGAAGTGTTTATCACAACGACGCCAGAGCCACTAGGTGCTTGGCTTAATACAAGCCCGTTGGAAAGTGTGAGCGGTGTACTCCCAACAGAGAACAACGTGCCTGAAACAAGGACACTAGTCGCCTTTCCGCCGTTTGCACCATCGCCTAGGATCGCGGTCGCGGTGACGCGCTCGCCGTTTGGTAGCGTGATGATTGCGCCAGATGAAGGCGTTGGTGCGCCTGGTTGGGGCAGATTGATTGTTGATGGCGCGGCGGCGCCGGGAGTGTTGATGACGAGGTGGGTTGGGTCTTGGAGGGAGACTGTGGTGTCGCGGTTGGGGCCGAGAGTGAGGGCTGGGGAGCCGGGGGTGAGAATTGTGGTGCCGATGTTGATTTGGGAGGGATTGGATGGGTTGATGATGATGGGGACGGTGCCGATTGAGCCAACGGTTGTTGGTGTAGGCGGTAGGACTATCGGGGCGGGAGTCACTTGTGGAGTCGGATTAGGTACGGGCACTGGGTTTGGCGCCGGATTTGGTGCCGGATTTGGCTGTGGGTTTGTGTCTGAATCTCCTGGTTTTGATGGATCGGATGGAACAGACGGTCTCGGCGGATCCTGTGGATTCAGAGGCCCGTCTTCACTTGGTGGCGGCCCCGAGTTACCTGGGTTCTTAGGTGGGTCACTTTGCCATGGTAAAGGCAGTCCAGGCACAATTGGTGTATGAGTAGGCTCGTTCTGCTGTGGCGGAGATTGACCTGGAGTAGGACCTGGTCCTCCTTGAGGCGGCACCGTAGTCGAGGCAAACATGTTTCCAACACTGCTCAGAGCAATGGGCGGGTCGTAGAGACCACCCAAATCGAGATCGCATGTCGACCATCGTGGATCAAGGCGGCGGATTGCTTCTGGTACTGCTATTCGCGGATTGTATGGGCCGCTCATGGTTGAGCACTTGTTCACCACGCAGTAGTCGAGTCCTGCCCAAGCACTCCACGGATATGGTGACACCAAATCGGCGAAGTTGAAGCTGTACAGGTTGTTACCATATCCGATCGAGCTTGCGAGGCTTCCACGTTCGGTCCAAGGACCCCACGTCGCGCGCAATGAAAGGAGTTCCGATGGTGCCATTGTCAAGACATTACCGTGCTGAGTCGATCCGACTTCTACCGATGTGCCACTCCAATTGCACTGGGCATTGATGCCCTTCAGTGAAACGTAGACGTTACCAGAATACCACGTCGTATTTCCAGGCAGTACAGCGTACGGCCCAGTCGTGATGGGAGACCACGTGAAGTTTGTTGGAGGTTGAGACGTGATGAAAGTAGGCGGAGCTGTAGCACACAGATCGCGAGTTGCATTGTACTGCGGAGGGAACCAGAAAATCTCTACCTCATCACCACTGATCTTACACTGTGCACCGGGTGTACACGTCGGTTTTGCTGTTCTGCAGGATGGGGTGTATGGTGTGTTTGTGAAGCTGATTGTATTCTGAATGGTGACTGGTGGGCCTCCCGCAGTCATGGTCTTTCCACACGCACATACGAGACCTCCAGGCGGCGGCCGAGTTATGATGAGGTACTGGTTTTTGATGTAGTACTTTTCGATTGACTCCGTGCCAAGCGATATTTCTGCAGGCGAAGGTGTCGGAAAGGTGGTCGTAACGCCGTTGACCACCCAATAGCTCGCTCCAGGTCCGAGGGATACAACGGTGTTTGCCTTCTCGAAGGAAATAGCATCATATACGCTTTTTGCAGTGGAATATCGCGACCACAGGCCGTCGCAGTCGTCCCAATTCACGGTGCAGTTCGGGTTAGGGAATTTGCTCCATCCAATTCTTTCATTGAGGTACGTCGTGGTACTTGGAGCAAGAGTTGTAGTTATAGTTGCCGTGGGTGTCGATGTGATTACTCTCGGATGACCATCGCATAAAGTGAAGTATTGTGTCTCGTAGTAGGTGCTACATGGAATTAGGCGAAGTCATACTTATATCATGGATATCTGCACATACTGAACTTCGTATACTGTAGTACTTCGAATTGTCTCTGTAACATAGCCCCTAGATGCGCTCACCTTAAGGTCGTCGGTGTTGATAGACGTGAAGCTATACCAAGCATTCTGACATTGTAGCGCAAATGCACTCCCTGTATAATGTTAATTACGGCACGCAAACTAGAGCCAGAATACAGACCAGTTCCATGCTGAGGGACTGGCGATGAGAAGTTGCCAGCCCATGGATTAACGTATGCTGTGGGCCTAGGTGACGACGAGGCACTGCTTGTCGCGTTTACGGGCGATGGCAGCACGGACTCCGTGTTCTGCGAGCTACTCCGAGCGGATGCACTGGAAGAATAGGATGATGATGAAGAAGACAGAACAATGGATGCGCTGCTTGTCGAATTACTGGCACTTGAACTCGATAAAGAGTTAGTGCTAGGTCGAGAGCTCGGCAGAGCAGTCACTGCATGCCGTCAGTACATTGATCAACCTACCCTAGACTTACTGACATGATTGAGCGCATGCGGACGAAAGCCCACTTAGTACAAGAGTGACTTTCATGTTCACAGATGCTACTGCCTCCCAGCAATCTTTGTTTATCGTGTCGGACAAGTTGGAAAGTCCACAGCAGGAGGGAACAATCCAATTTTCTAACGGCCATCTTAGCAGACCGCATTGAGATAGCTACCGCTTTACCCTTGCCGAGCGGCTCTTCGATATGAAAACTGTGGCTTGGAGATGCAAGATCGCATGCGTGTGGGGGCGAAAACCATCAATCCTTGAAGGCAATGAGGGCGCTAGCCATGACTGGCATCACCCGTGCAGGAGTGGTCGCGAAGTGAGCCTTGCGGTACTGCAGCCATATTAAATTGCATGGATTTCACCCACTGCTAATATCGTGAGCGAATGAGCACGTCGACGCCCCTGAGGTAGTCTACCCTAAAAATACGGCACTGGGTCCTGAGCGTGTCCGTACGTGCAGCGACGGGCACGGCGGCAGCCGTTCTTGCGCATTTCAACCTACACTGGGCCAACGTTCCGACTTCGCAAGGCGGTCCAGGCACAGTACGCATATACACACAAAAAAATTAACTGTGGGGTATGCCGAGTAAATTCGGGCAGTCGTCTGTGCTGGATAGGTTTTGCTGAAGGCGCTGAGGCGCGAAGGCTTCTAGAAGTGCACCTGGTGCACCTGATTGAAACTGACTAGCGTCGGACAAAATTAGAGAAGAGATGCAGTGCGGCAGAGAGGCCATCTCTGTGGCTTAAAATATCGTTGCAGGCCTCAACTTGTGACAGCCTGGTTTGCCATCGAGCTGGGGATTGTATGCTGTGCGTAGTTGGTATTGAAGTTTGCCAGGAGGGCACGGGCCACTAAATTCCAAAAAGACGGCCTCCAATTATCGAAAAGCCTAAAAAATCATTCCTCTTAGGACCAATGTCCCAACAGCGCGTCGAAGTCACGACACAGACAAGATTCGAACTTGCGAGGCCGAAGCCTTTAGATTTGTTAGCATATTGTTGACATGATGGTCATGCATCGGTGACTTACCATTAGATGACTGAACATGAAATTCAAGTCTAACCCATTAACCACTCTGGCACTGTGTCGAATGAATATGCATATTTGGAAAATTAACAAATAATTATTTAGTCTAATAATGACCATCGCCCATGTAGCTCCAATACAGAGCCTGTTGGAAAGAAATTGACTATCGAAAAAGGTTGGGGCTGAGCGGGGTTCAATGTGTCAGACGCTCTGCAGCATCTTACTAGCGCATCATGCTATTGGTTTCTACAGGCTAGACTTCCCACTCAGAGCCCACGTCTTCTTTTCCTTGTTGTACGAGACCATTCCTTCCTTCTGCAACTTATCGAGAATCTGTAAAACCCCTCTCTCCGCAGGCTCCCAGAGATTTTTGGGATAGTCTTTGTAGATCACCTTGACAATGTCCATTGAAGTCCATCCATCCTCCGTCTCCTGCGCGAGGACGTCCAGGACCTGCTTCTCACGCTGCCTGCGGTGTTTGATGTACTCCGCAATCTTTGCCGGGCCGTCTTCGATGACTGGACCGTGGCCGGGATATGCACGGCCTTTGAACTGCTTTGACATGCTGTCGAGGCTCTTCAAGTACGTTGCGAGGTCTTCAAAGACAGCTGTGCCTTGGCCTAAGACGTTATCGGCTGTGAACATGGCGTCCTCTTCCTCGAGCACCAGTGCCATATGATCTGTCGTATGGCCTGGGCAATAGAATGCTCGTAGCGTCGCACCCTCGGTTTCAAATTTCTGTCCGTCGCTTATCTCATGCCAGTCGTCGTGCGCATCATTCTTGTACACTTTGGTTTCGGGTGAGTGCTCGAGAAGATCGGGCACACCCTGGATATGATCATGATGCCAGTGCGTCAAGATTGCCTTGTCAATTGAAATCTTCTCGCCTTTCAACACAGACTGTATTGACGCAATCCATTCAGGTTTGCCTTCACCGGTGTCGATGAGTAAACGCTTCGGGCCTTGGCCAACAATATATGTATTGGTGCCCTGCAATGTGAACTGCTCGTTTGTCAATGCTGGCTCAGGCACCCGCCTTGCAAATCTGACCTTGCTAGGATTACCTCCGAGCACGCGGATGACACGGCTACTGAGCTTCTCTATCTTCGGAAGAGGTGCCATAGGTTCGGCCATCTTTGAATATAGCCTGCGCGACGTGAAGTAAGCAAGGCATCGCGACACCTGCATGGTGTCACTCTTACCTGGTGCTCCCCTCGTTGAGCCGAGGCACACTCTTATCGATAGAGATCGCGCCACTTGACTCAAAATCGCGACGCAGACTAACACTTTTCAGGAACACGATTTGGAGCATTATAAGTCGCATCTCTGCAAGATGGCGTTGACTGATGATGACGATGATATGCCGTAGGTATGGTCGATTGCTAGTAAAATGGTCGCTAATCAGTGAAGCCAGCTTTCAGGCAGTGCTCTGGATGCACTGAAAGAATTTTACGGCGAGCGCGATGCCAGGCAGAAACAGTTCGAAGAATTGAAGGGCAAGGCTGAAGACGACTTCGAGGGCAAGCTGTCTATGGACGCTTTTACAGAAGATTGGAATGCGAGCCAGTTCTGGTACAGCGACGAGACTGCAACGACACTTGCTCGGCAACTGCTCGATGGCGCAACAAATGAAACGAAGATTGCAGTCGTGTCTGCGCCTAGTGCATTCATCCAGTTGAAGAACCTAATGGTGAGCTGGAATCGCTGTTTCTGTGGCGACAGATACTGATTGCACACAGAAATCGGGCGAGTACGATTGCCGACCAGAGATCAAGCTCCTAGAGTACGACGAGCGCTTCGCAGTCTTTAAAGAGTTTGCGCGGTATGATTTCGAGAAAGCGATCCAATTACCAGCCGAGATGAAGGGCTCATTCGACCGTATCATTTGCGACCCACCTTTTCTGAGCGAGGACTGTCAGACTAAAGGTAAGTTTGGTCAACCTTGTTTGCGCACAGCAAGCTGACATGGTGCAGCCGCATTGACTGTCCGATGGCTGGCCAAATCATGGACACCGGAGTCGTTACGTCTCATTGTATGCACAGGAGAGCGTATGGAAAGCTTGGTGACCACTAAGTTGTATGGCAAAGTCGGGACTAAGACAACTGACTACGAGATTATGCATGCGAAGGGCTTGAGCAACGAGTTTAGATGTTACGCCAATTTCGAGTGCGAGAGATGGAAGTGGGCAAAGCAATAATGCGGACCCTAGATATTCAAGACCTTTGTAGTTGTCCAAAAGAGAAGTCAATGAACATGTCTGCATCTTCATCTTCCCAATGTAGCCGTCCTGGTAGTGCTTCGACGTCACAGAGCGGAACCGACCGCGGAAGCTACCCCACAATACACCCCACCACAACTCACTCGGCTCATTGGCATAGCTCCGAACACCTTTTGTCACTCCAAACATCACGTCACCAGCCAACCAGACCATCCACACTCTGAGCACCATAATGGCCGCTGCGTGCATCTTCTGCAAGATCATCCGGGGTACATACCGCCTTCACCCTGTTTGGCCATCGGTTTGAAGCTAATAATGCCACAGGTGAGATCCCGTCGATGAAGATCTTCGAATCTGAAAAGACGTACGCTTTTCTAGACATTGGCCCTTTGAGCAAAGGCCACTCTGTGGGTCAGACACTCCCAGTCTCTTTGCACTCTCACTAACCCATCTCAGCTCATCATTCCCAAATTTCATGGCGCGAAGCTACACGACATCCCCGACGACCAGCTATCCGAGGTTCTCGCTGTAACCAAGAAGATTGCAATTGCACAAGGCGTAGAGGACTATAATATCTTACAGAACAATGGCAGGATTGCGCATCAAGTTGTGGATCATGTGCATTTCCATTTGATCCCGAAGCCGAACAAGGAGGAAGGTCTGGGCATCGAATGGCCAACGCAGGAGGCGGATAAAGATAAGCTGGCGAAGTTGCTGGAGGAAATCAAGGCGAAGATGTAAGGGTGGCATCACTGCAATAATACTATAAGAAGTTTGTGAAGCTTGACTTTTGCATTGCGAGCAATTTACTCGCCTCTAAACACGGGTTTCCGCTTCTCTCTGAATGCGACAAGCGCTTCGTCCCTGTCTTTCGTCTTGACAACAAGCTCATACGCAGCATTCTCTGCCTTCTCACCCAGCGCACATCCTTCCACAGCTGCAAGTGCAGCCTTGATAGCAATTGGGCCACCCTCACATATCTCTCTTGCAAGCTTGATTGCCTCACCCAAGACCTTCTTTCGTGCGGCACCTTCTTGCCCTGCCTCTTCCGGTGTCACTTCTACCAGCCGGTCGCATAGTCCAAGGAAGTACGCTTCCGGTGCGCCAACTCTTCGTCCTGTCAGGATCAGGTCGCGTGCTCTCGACAGGCCGATTAGAGCTGGTAGACGGTATGTTCCACCTGCGCCTGGTATGATGGCTAACCGCGTCTCGGGCAACGCGACTGTGGTAGTGGACGCGAAAATACGCATGTGTGTTGTGAGAGCGACTTCGAGGCCTCCACCAAAGGCTGGTGCAGCCAGTGCGGAGATGGTTGGTATGGGTAGTTGCGCAATGGAGGCTAGAGTGCCTCTCAGCGATGTGAGGAAGTTGGCCGTGCTGCAGACCTGTCAGTCATGTTCTCAGGCTGCATTTGCGCCACACTTACTCCTCCTGTGTGAAGGTAGCCCTCTCTTTCAAGTCTGCGCCTGCACAGAAACTTGAATCAACATCACTCGCCAGAATCAATGCTCGTGTGGATCCCTTGTCGCCCTCGTTGTGGATGCTGTTGACATGATGGCTCAGTTCCGCAAGCAATTGCCGCGATATAGCATTGCGAGCAGCGGGTCGGTTGAGCGACAGTATACGTATGCTTCCCGAGTGCGGTGCTGGCACGTTGGTAACGTTGATGGCTGGTGCTTGCGCGGTCGAGTATGCGCAGGAATATATGGGGCGGACGAGCAGCCGCGGGCTGGGGCGAGCAAGAAAAGGCATTGCGGCTGTTTAACGAGATCTTCTTAGTCTGCAGTGGATGGCAATTGTACACTTATTTATTGCTGTACAATAAACAGCCCGCAGATATCGTAAAGCAGGCGTGGAATTGGACCGCGATTACCCGAGGCGTCCAGAATTGGAGCTACGACCATTTTGAGCATGACGCCAACCTCACCACCAAATCACATTCGACCTGCCGACCACTTGAATCAGGAACTCTCGCTACCTTAGACTAGTCCTATTGTATGCTTGCGTACCACTTTGGTAAACCCATCAGGCACCGACATTCTACCCCATATTTCAGCCGACGCATGCTGCCTTGCGCGCTGCAATTTACCAAACACAGCGCGCTGCTAGGATCGCCGACTATCCTTCGATCGTGTTATACTACCTAACAGGCACAACTATGTCGTCGACCCGAGATGATCAACCTAGCAGCGGGCCTGTTCCCAAGCCAGTGCCTACTCTCGACTCCTTGCCTTCTGAATTGAGACGCATCATTGTCTCTTACCTCACGCCTCTGCCCGATGAGCTTGTTCCCGGATGCAAGAAGCACCTCAAGAATGCCAATGTCGCACACTCGTGTCTACGAGAATGGGCACGAGAGTACTTGTTCCGCGATATGCCTTTGAATCACGTCCTGGTGGGCATGTCGAGCCACCTGGAGTGCTTTGTGGCAAATCCTGAAAACACAGAGTTGCTTAAGTACATCAAACACGTGCGCGTCCAAGTAAGAGCCTCCTGCTTTCGAACGCATGGGAGTTAACAGAAGCAGGTTCCGCCCGGCCTACGATGGGAGGTTGGCACAGACGACCCTTTTGGCCATCATCTTGACGACCAGACCAGTCATCGTTTGCATCGACATCACGGGGTCTCTGGTTACCAATTGAGTAAGAAGCAGCGACAGTATAATGCTGACTACCATCGTGCCATGGTTGAGCCGTTCACTGATAACCGATCGTGGTATCGGCTTCTACGTGCTGCCGACGCATCGTGGGGCCAGATCTTTTGTCGACTCAAGAACTTGGAGGAGATCTCAGTAGGATGCTGCGACATTGTCGATCAGCCTCCACCGACGTACACTCACACAT